GAACTTCAAAATTTTTCAACAACATTGACGTAATTAAATCCCTCTTCTTTGCATATGTTCTTTCGAAATTAGAGTATGCCTCACTAATATGGTATCCCATATATATGTGTCAGCACATGCTTCTTGATAAAGTGCACAGGAAATTTTTGAAATTCCTTTCGTTCAAAATTGATGGTAATTATCCGGCCAGAGGTATTGAGATGGAAAGTCTTCTCCAACGACACAAGATGTCCTCTTTGATGCTTCGAAGGGATCTGCATGCGGCTAACTTCTTGTCTAAGCTTATTCACAACAAAATTGATTGCCCATATTTATTATCACAGATTAGATTTAATATCCCTCGGCCAGCATCGAGATATGTTAACACCTTTCATATCTCCACCGCCCGAACTAATATCCTTCGTCGCTCGCCAATTACTACAATGTGTCGATGTGCAGATAGATATGTAGCTGATATATTTTATTCAAATTAGTTGATACTTGGAATTATGTTTTTGTTTTTGTTATTGTTATAATTTTTGTGTTGGTTATTCATGTAAGTAATTAGTTAGATTTGTCCGGTCATTAGGGTAACCTGTTGGACAATAAAATTATTATTATTATTAAGAACAAAACTTACATTCATTTACTTGATTGAGAAGGTTTTTATGCAGAAAACATTAACTATTAATTATTTATTGTTCGAGAAATTTTCACAAAAACTAATACTTAATAGTGTTTACGAATTCTTATATGAAATCACTTTCTAAGTTCTTATTCAACTGAGGTTCATCATTTTATGAGTTGCGTTGTTTAACGATACTCCAAAATAGTATATTAAAGTACGAGTGCCACAATGGCCTTATGAACGAGTTATTTATACTATTTTTTCTACCGCGCACGTTTTTTCGCAAAATTTAATTGAAATTTGCATTTTTTTAAATCTGGGGAATTTTGTCGTGATTGGTGATGGGTTGGTCTGACACGAACCCCGAAATATTTGAAGTTCGAATTTTTACAACAACAACTGTAATTCGAATCAATTCGAGTTAAAATTGGTTAAAATGTCTTGTGAAGAAGTTAGTGAAGTCCTTACGCCTCCCGAAATACGGGAAATTTTAATTTGGGATTTGCCACTGACATTCACCTGCTATTTCTCGTCAAGGCTACCAATCTTACCGATCTAAATTACACCAAATCTATTTCAGAACCCCTTTCCGCTATTAACGAACTGCTATGACGTCATTTGGGTGCTTTAATAGCTCTATCAGAAAATAAAAAAACGTGCGCGGTAGAAAAATAGAATAAAGTTCTTTAAATTTAGGATCCACTTGAAGCATAGATATTTTCATATTTCCTTGACATTTCACAGCGCTTAGAACACGAAAAATTGGTCTACCGTTTACGTCTGTCTATCGTCTGTTGGCGATTTTATTAGGTAGTTAGGTACGCAATAACACTGCGAACTGCCTCTAGGACTACAGAAACCACACAATAAAAGTAAGTAAATTAAAACTCAACATAAAATTTAATAACGGGCCCAAGAACGTAGACAAAGAAAAACTGGAAAAACTGGCAGTAGAAATAAATACAGCAATTAGAGATTTTACAGTGAGAAAAAGAACAAGAATAGAATGCGCAGAGAAATTTAGAAAAGAAATTAAAAAAACACCAATGAAGAACAGAGAAAAAATAAAAGTGGCCCGAACTTTTAAGAAGAAAATAAAAGAAGAACAACTAGTAATAGGAAAAGCAGATAAAGGTAGCTCAATAGTGATAACGAAAAAGGAAGGATCTGAAGCTTGATACTCATTACGAAAATTTTCTTTGTACCATTCTTTTAAGTCCACCGATTGTGCATAATTTTCATTTTCTTAAAGCAGAATTATCTGGAACTGAAAATTTTCAAGAGATACCTTCAACATCAACAGCCATATTTGCACCTACAACTGCAGTATTAGGGAAATGTGCTACTACTGTTCTCGAAAAAACTGTAACGCCAATAATTACAAAAAATTGCCAAACCTTACGATTAACATTCATACCAATTAAAATAATTAATTGTTAACATTTTCAATGTATAATTATAGTTTGTAGTTAGTAAATAGCTAAAATAAAATATTAACTTCTTTCACATTGAAATATTTTTAAGGTGTGGTCGTGGAAAAAGTATAGTACACAACTCGTGTGCAAACGCTCATTACGCACTCGTTGAATTACCTATTTACCACACTCGTTATGTACTTTGTGCTCACATTTTCTAAATACTAATAATAATAGTGGGTCTATTTTTGTATCTTTTCATTATAAGTATATACATTTTTTCAGTGACAGACAAATGATCGGAAATTGACATTTCTCAGAGAGCTTCCAGCTTAAATATCATCGTCCTTTGGGAGACCGCCCTGCGAATTTCTGTTTCTATAAAAAATTCTGGCTTAAAACATTTTTTTGTTCCGAGTGTCATATGCATGGAAAAGTATTCCAAAAATGGAATACGCCTTCTTGTATGTTCAACAAAATCTATGACACGATCTTACGAAGGTATTGTAATCTTAGAGTCAACAAATAAAATAGAGTAACTGATCAAATATTTTGGGAAACATTGTCTGAACGGAGTTCAACAATTTAACTATTTAAAAAAAAAATGAAATTTCAGCAAGAGCTACAAATGTTTTTTGATGTATTTTTGGACCGTGACAAGTGCACATCGTAATGTTTGGGGATTGGTCTGAACATGGCTTTCCAACATAATCGTCTTCGAAAAGCATGAAAAATATTAGGGATTTTTGGAAATTGGCAGAGGTATATTTTTTATGTTCAAATAAAAAAATAACTATTTTACTGTTGATTACACGACTGTACACTGTTGTAACACAACTATTAATAATAATTTGTAAAAACTATAATCATATATCTTTACAGGAATCGAAGGAAAACCTATAGTCAAAACACCCCATCAGTCTAATCCAGAAGAAAGTCAAATATGTAAACAAAAGTGTATGAATCTTAACTTAGTGGTATAATAATGTCAAAAAGTATCTTTGAAAAATATCTGTTTTTAATATAGTTAGTTACATATATGCAAATTTCTAATTTTAGTAACAACTGTACTGACATGTTTATTAAATTTCTTATAATTCACTCTTATTTTATCTTGCTCGACTATTAATGAATTATTGCAAATTAATTTACAAAACGGACCAAGTTTCGATCTTAACAATAAAAATGATGAATTGAGTACCTAAATATAACAAACCAATCGAGTTGACGATTAAAATTGTATTCAAGAATATGACAGTCTCTTGCACTATCAACTTTAATAAACAGTTTAAGATCATCAGCAAAAATCAATTTTTCACACATAATTTCATTACCAATGTCATTAATAAATGTTATAAATAATAAGGGTCCTAAATTGGACCACTGTGGAAAAGATGGATGGATTTAGAGCGAAAATTACGACATATATAACAACTTGCTGCCGGTTCATAAGATATTATCGGAATAATGTGATCAAGGGATCTGAAAAACCATATTGCCGCAACTTGTCGAGTTATATACGTAGTGGTCAATTTTATCAAATGCTTTACAAAAATCCGTATAAATTGTATCCAGTTAGCCATGATTATCAATGGATTCAGAAACGAAGGGTAAAAGACATGTGAGATTAGTTACAGTTGATCTTTTTTCAAAAAATCGATGTTGATAAGGAGTAATAAATTGTGAAAATGGGATGTGCTGTTTCTGATTTGAAGGGAAAAAAAATGGGACAGACATACGGAAACGGCAAACTCGGGAAGTAAAAATAGTTATGATGAGGTCGAATCCGCCATAGTCTTACTATAAAATGTTATGCAATTTAATTTTTGTTTTTTGTGAAAATGTGCTGGCACACGTAATCTCCGAAACTACTGGACCGATTGTTGTCAAACTTTGTATGTATATTAGAAATATCATGTAGAAGGTTAAATGCTATCCAAAATTTGGATATTCATCCCCATCAAGAATTTGATGACGTCATTTCAATGAATTATATTTTAAATGATTTGAATGTTACACGAAAATATGCAAGGTATAATAACGTTATATTACCAATACCGGACAGAAGTGGCGCAGTGGCTATAAGTCGGAAACAAGAAGACGCTGTGACTACTTTTCTTTTGTGCTGTGACTAACATTATCCATATTGATGACGTCATAACACATTTTTATTATTATGGTCTAAACTCAAAGCTGTCATGTTTCTATAATTCTGTGTCTAGCTGTGACTACGATTTGATCGCTCTTACTGAGACTTGGATTCATCCAGGTGTTAGAGACTCAGAACTATTCGATAAGAATTTTATAGTGTATAAAGAAGATAGAGATTTTAAGAAAACTGGCCTTTCCAGAAAAGCCGTAAAAGATTAATTTATCTCCATGAAAATTAATTTAGACAATTCTCTTTCTCATACTCTTCACTTGGTTGATGTCTTGGCTGTTAAAGTGTCAGTTGACTCAGTTATGCTGTTACAATTTTTGTGGTTTACTTTCCGCCATCTCACTAAATTGATTACTTTCGATCTGTTCTTGATAGTCAGTTGAATGGTTCATCAGGAAGCTTTAGTGATAATGTTACACTGACGGAGGTGAGTTCTGAACATGTTTTCAAAGTCATAAAAAGAGTAAAAGAAAGCATATTAAGGGACCAGATGGGATCCCGGCTTTTAGCAGAACCTTTGTCTGTCATCTTCAACTTATGCATTCATTCTTGAATTTTTCCGAACATTTGGAAAATATCTAAAATTATTCCAATCTAGAAAGGTAAAGACCATCATCAATACTTTTTCCAAAATATTCGAGTTCTTAGTTTACAACCAACTTTATTTTCAGATTCATAATTATAGTACACCTCACCAATACGGTTTTATGCATGGCAGATCCACGACAACAAATCTTTTCTGGGTTACTCAGTTTATTCCTGATTCCATTGATGACGGTTGTCAAACTGATGTTATTAAACTTTTCACGTCATACTAAAATTCCACTTTACGCAGGTTCCTTAAATACATTTTTTTAGAGAGGATGGTGTATGTCCACCCATAGGATTCTCTCAGTCTAACCTTCTTCAGCGGTTGTTTGTTGACATGATGGTTTAACCTTTGTGCAGAATTGTTAGATAACTTTTTCATTTATCACACATTTGGTCAAGGACCACGAATATCAACAAAGAGATTACAAAGTGCCGATTAAAAATTTCGTAGTATAATAAAATTATTCATGCAGAAAATGGTTTCAAAAATTGTGCTCTTATTTACGTTGCTGTTCAGAAATGTGTTCCTCAACCCTAGTGACACTGACGACGTAAGTACGCTTTTAAAATTCATTCATAATTTCTATACAGTTGACAAAAGTATAGCACAGTATACTGTAAAATGTCACCCCAAAAGACATCAACACATATTTTGTTAAATCAGCTGTTTTGGTTGGCATTTATCTTATTTTTTGACAGTTTTCGGTGGTTTTTACCAGCAAAAGTCAACCAAAATTTCAACCCACCGTAAACGATCCTTTCTTTGTACGAGCGGAATTGCTATTTGAAATAAACACTATACTTGGCGTATTAAAAGAATCCGTAAATAACCTGCAAAACATAAAGCAGGAAATTATCGAAGAAGTCGAAAACGTGGTAGAAGAAAAAATCAGTATTTATGAAGCAGACCTAAAAGACCAATTATCGCAAACAAAAACCGAAATTCTGTCAGAAACGAAAGAAAATGTTATACGACAATTAACAGAGGCGAAGAATGAAATGACGATTCAGATGAACGCCGTGAAAGAATCGGGATTTTCGCTTTATTCTATCATCGAAAAGAAACTCATCGAAACAAAAAATGAAGTACTTGATGAAATAAGCAACGCGCAAATACATTTCACCAACCTGGAAAATCAGTTGAAAGAAACGAAACAACACATTGTGGCTGAAACAAAAGAAAATGTTAAATTGGAAGTGATAGAAAACAATTTCAAAATTTATGATACGGAACTAAAAAATGAATTTGATAAAACTAAAAAGCAAATCCTCACTACAACGGAACAGCAGCTAAGTCTAGCAAAGGATGAAATATTTAATGGAATAACTTTTGAGCTTATAAACACGCAGGCAAAAATTATTAATGAAGTTCGGCAATGTCGAACGGTACCAAGTGACTGTAGAGAAGTTCAGAGGAGAGGATACAAAAGTTCTGGTATTTATCGCATCCAGCCAAAGATTTCTTTGGAAAAATTTTTGGTTTGGTGTGACATGTCAACTAGGGGAGGTGGATGGACTTACGTTCTGAATAGATTCGACGGTTCGGAAAATTTTTATTTTAATTGGACTGATTATAAGCAAGGTTTTGGTAATCTTTCAGGAGAACACTGGTTGGGTTTGGATCATCTTTACGAATTGACGAGTGAGTTTTTTTTATCGTTGACAGTACTGTACAATGTGATTTTGCTATGTATTTCAGACAGCAAACCTACCGAGTTGTTATTCCAACTAATGGATAGGGACTCGAAAACGGTTTATGCTTTATATAACAGGTTTCAAATTGGCAGCGAAGCCGAACACTATCAAATAAAAACTTTGGGATCGTACGATGGAAATGCTGGAGATTCTTTCCGGAGACACGATGGTGCAAAATTTAGTACCGCCGATAATGACCATAGTTCCCAAAGCTGTGCCTCTAGTTTCGGTAAACTTTATTTAATTTTAATTTGGTTTCTAAAAAGGTTCTTGCAGAGAGTGGCTGGTGGTTCACAGATTGTCATCTGGTGCTTCTTACTGGGAAATATATAAAAAACCCAACGCTTGGGTATTATTCAGCAATAAAGTGGTATCACTTTCATGGCTATAACTATAGTCTCAAAGAAGCAAGAATGATGATCAGAACGATTTAAGTTAATTTGTCTAAACACAACAAATTCTTGGTTTTTGCAACTTGAATAAAAAATTAGTTCAATTGAAAATTTAGCTATTTACATTACACCCATCATACTAAGTGATGAGTTAGCAATATCCACAAAATAATAGTAATAATATTTTTAATAATTTTCAAGTATCGGTCTCGCTGAAAACAAAACTATTTCTGTACATTATTAAAAATTATGCACAATTGGAAAGTGAGGAGCGGGTAAGGCACCGACCGCACTTCAAACGAGTAGATAGGATGAATAAATTTCGACCGCCCAGCTTTATTCATAAACAACGACGTCATAGCAAAACCCATCTGTGCGTGATGTTCGACGTCCCGCATGCTGTTGAATGCACAAAGGTCATCAAAGAAGGTTATGAATGCAAACAAATTATTTATAGCACATTATCAACAGGAATACATTACATCGGAAGAATGTCACGTAGACATTTGTTTGATTTCAGTGCGTTTATCGCCCCAAAACAGATGACTAAAATTATTCATAAGCCTGCATTGAACAAAATATTCTGAATGTTGCTATTATAAGTCTTACCTTATCATTATTTTATTGTTATAAAGACGAGCGTATTCTCACATTTTCCAGAAAATGGAGTGACTTGTTCTTAATTTGGTCAATAATAAATTCACTGATTCATTAATTTTTTTGAGTCACCTGTTTAAGCAAATCTAAAAAATATGAAAAGTCTGTTGATATTTTGCACATTTGCGAAAGAATTTATTGGAAAAAATTTTGAGATGCCGTAATCAATTTTTTGGGGTTGATAAACAGATACATTTTCATTAAAAGGTTACCATGCTTACAATAACTTCAAAACGTCAAGATTTCAAAGTATTCAGTTTTGCAATAATTCTTGATTTAATCGATAAAACAAATTGACTCACTGATTAATTTTTTTCACACGCTCCGTATAAGCACATTTAATATAGCATTTTTTCGGAAAAATTTTGGGGTGGCGTGATCAATGCTTTAGGGGAGGATGAGCAAACATATTTTGACCAAAAATTTACCATGCCTATGATAACTTTAAAACATCTCCAAGATTTCAAAGCATTCGGTTTTGTAGTTCCTGATTAAATCAATAAAATATATTCACGCATTCATTTTTTTTTTTGGGTCAGCCTGTATATGCTAATCCAAAAAATATGAATGGAATGATAATTTACAAGGATTGTCTTATCATACTTTGTACATTTAAGATAGGATTTATTCAGCAAAACTTTGAGGTGACGTCATCAATTTTTTTAGGGGGGGGGATGAAGAAATATATTTTGACTAAAAATTTACCATGCCTATGCTAACTGTAAAACATCTCCAAGATTACGAAGCATTCGGTTTTGTAGTTCCTGATTAAATAAATAAAATATATTCACGCATTCATTATTTTTTTTTTTGGTCACCCTGTATGCGCTAACCCAAAAAATATGAATAGAATGATAAATTACAAGTACAGATTCATCGTATTTTTTACATTTTAGATAGAATTTATTCGGCAAATTTTTGAGGTGACGTCATCAATTTTTTGGAGGGAACAAATAAATATATTTTGAATAAAAACTTATCATGCTTATCATAACTGTAAACCATCTGCAAGATTTCAAAGCGTTCGATTTTGCAGATTCCAAATTAAATGTCAAAATGTTGTTTCCTAATTTTGATTTTTTTTTTCCAAAAATCTGGACGTTTCGGGTAAAATCTCTATTCGGGGTCATAAACTACATGTGTAAGACTATGTTATTTGATACAATCTAAAACCCATTTACTATGTACAATTTTGAATTGACGTCATCACATTAGTGGTGGGGATGATTAGACAAATTTTTGTTAGCGTTTTACCATCTGCATGTTATACCTAACATAAATACCAAATTTGACAACAATCGGCCTAGTAATTTCAGAGATTATCTGTCTAAAAAAATCTGAGTTGGCAGACAGACGGACTGACAGACGGAAATGGGAGACCTATTTCTTCGTCCTCTAGGGGTCATGATAGGTTGAAAAAATGCAAACGTAGAGAGTCGGCCGACGGACTCGATTACAATACTTCCTTTGCTTACGCTCGGGAAGTAAAAGTGGTGTGAAATTATTTAGGGAGAACTTTTAGTAAGGATAATAATTATGTGGATGTAGTGCGAATAACAACAGTACCCTATTCTCAGAATTTTAGGTAATGAAGTAAGCCCTTTTTGATTTAATCAATAAAATATACTATATATTTTTTAATAATCAGACGTCTAATGTAATGGCAAATTAATAAACTACAAGTACAGAAACATGTTCTTTCATCAATTTTAAGCAAGATTTATTTTGTAAAATTTTGAAATGTCGTCATCAATTGTTACCATCTGCCTCTAAAACACACGTAAAATTTCACAACAGAATTTTGTAGAATCAATTGGTAAACACGAAATGAATGTCAAACGAAGACTAATTAAAAAAAAATCTATACTTTGTTCAGTTTACGACGTACCATAGCTATAATACAAAAGTTTTCTTATAAAAGAGACTGATTAGAGCTAATTTTTATTGGAAAGAAATATAAGATAAGTTTACCTATATATTAATCATAACCTCCCTTTATGACAGATAAATATTTTGGATCATATGGTACTTCTAAAAGGTTAAAACGATGAATCATCAATTCAAGAATTGTTTCCAAAACAAGAGCTTAACGTCTAATGATTTCCGCTTTTTTGACTTTCTAAGCAAATTAAAAAGACGAAACCTAAATTTTTTGCAAATGTCTGGACAACTATTCCAGTTAAATTCCTATAATGATGTACCTACTGTTGTTTGTTTGCATAATAGTTTAACCTTTGTGCAGAATTGTTAGATAACTTTTTCATTTATCACACATTTGGTCAAGGACCACGAATATCAACTAAGAGATTACAAAGTGCCGATTAAAAATTTCGTATTATAATAAAAGTATTCATGCAGAAAATGGTTTCAAAAATTGTACTCTTATTAATGTTGCTGTTCAGAAATGTGTTCCTCAACCCTAGTGACACTGACGACGTAAGTACGCTTTTAAAATTCATTCAGAATTTCTATACAGTTGACAAAAGTATAGCACAGTATACTGTAAAATGTCACCCCAAAAGACATCAACACATATTTTGTTAAATCACCAGTTTTGGTTAGCAACTATCTTATTTTTTGGCAGTTTTCGGTGCTTTCTACTAGCAAAAATCAAGCAAAACTTCAACTCACCGTAAACGATCCTTCCTTTGTACGAGCGGAATTGCTATTAGAAATACACACTACACTTGACGCATTAAAAGAATCCGTAAATAACCTGCAAAACATAAAGCGGGAAATTATCGAGGTAGTCGAAAACGTGGTAGAAGAGAAAATCAGTATTTACGACTCAGGCCTAAAAACGCAATTATCGCAAACAAAAACCGAAATTGTGTTAGAAACGAAAGAAAATGTTATACGACAATTAACAGAGACGAAGAATGAAATGACGATTCAGATGAACGCCGCAAAAGAATCGGGATTTTCGCTTTATTCTATCATCGAAAAGAAACTCATCGAAACAAAGGATGAAGTACTTGATAAAATGAGCAACTTGCAAACACATTTCACCAACCTGAAAAATCAGTTGAAAGAAACGAAACAACAAATTGTGGCTGAAACAAAAGAAAATGTTAAATTGGAAGTGATAGAAAACAATTTCAAAATTTATGATACAGAACTAAAAAATGAATTGGATAAAACTAAAAAGGAAATCATCACTGCAACCGAACATCAGCTAAGTCTAGCAAAGGATGAAATATTTAATGGAATAACTGTTGGGCTTTTAAAAACGCAGGTAAAAATTATTAATGAAGTTCAGCAATGTAGAACGGTGCCAAGTGACTGTAAAGAAGTTCAGAGGAGAGGATATAACAGTTCTGGTATTTATAACATCCAGCCAATGATTTCCTTGCAAAATTTTTTGGTTTGGTGTGACATGTCAACTAGAGGAGGTGGTTGGACTTACGTTCTGAATAGATTCGACGGTTCGGAAAATTTTTATTTAAATTGGACTGATTATAAGCAAGGTTTTGGTAATCTTTCAGGAGAACACTGGTTGGGTTTGGATCATCTTTACGAATTGACGAGTGAGTTTTTTTGTTGACAGTACTGTACAATGTGACTTTGCTATTTCAGACAGCAAACCTACCGAGTTGTTATTCGAACTAATGGATTGGGACTCGAAAACCGTTTATGCTTTATATAACAGGTTTCAGATTGGCAGCCAAGCCGAAGACTATAAAATAAAATCTTTGGAGGCGTATAATGGAACTGCTGGAAATTCTTTCCGGGAGCACGATGGTGCAAAATTTAGTACCGCCGATAATGATCATAGTTCCACCGGCACTTGTGCCTCTAGTTTTGGTAAACTTTATTTAATTTTGATTTGGTTTATGTAAAGGTTCTTGCAGAGGGTGGCTGGTGGTACACGAGTTGTCTTCAGGTAGATCTTAGTGCAAAATATATAAAAAACCCTACGCCTGGAACATACTATCAGTCAGCAATAAACTGGAATGAATTTCATGGCTATAACTATAGTCTCAAAGAAGCAAGAATGATGATTAGGACGATTTAAGTTAATTTGTTCAAACACAACTAATTCTTGGTTTTTGCATTTTGAATAAAAAATTAATTCAATTGAAAATTTAGCTATTTGGATTAAAACCACCATACTAAGTTTGGCATATCTCCAACACAAAATATGAAACTTTTCATTCGATAATTAAGGTCACTTTGGAGAATATTGGTATCTATGTTACGGAACACAGTACCTTCATGAGTATCATGCATGAGGTAGGATTTTATGGCTGATGCACTAAATTTTTTATTTCATCGTGTTTTTCTTTTGTAAAATGGAAACGATACATCTTTAATGGTTGGAAATTAATGGTCGAATTTGTTTAATGTTTTTTCACAATATTTACGTATTTGTGTTTTGATAAAAATTAGATTATTTAATATTAGGAAGTTGGTTTTAATTTATTATATATTTAATGATCCGGATGGACCATTCGAATAAAAAAATAATATTTTTATTCTACTTTATTTACTATATGGTTACAAGACTTCACGAACACTA